TTATTTGAGCCCCACCTCCCCGCCCCCCCCCCGCAATTGAAAACCACCCAAATTTTTTAAAGTTTGAACTTTATTTTAACTCCGTGCTAATTTTCTACTCGGGAGAAAAACATCAAAAAGGAATGTTTTCAATTTGATAAAAAACAGCTCCCTCAGAAACAGCATTGCCGCATCCCCCATCAAATCAGGCAATGAGGCTACATTCCCTCATCACAGGTATAGCACAAGTTGCTCCACCTAACCCAAATAAAAACCCTAAACTTTGGATATAGCCTGATTAACTCAAGTGCAAGCAGTTTTAAGTTCTGGGAAGGGAATGAACAAGAAAATATCACTTTTCCCCACCTTGGAGCCGATGCACCAGACCAGTCCTACCTTGGATGCCTAGGGTATGGAAGGGAAAGACAAAATATGACAGAATAAAATGCCGGATCCATCCTAAACTAAGAATCAACAAGACCTTTAAGAATACTGTGATGTACACTTACGTTACAAAGTATTAGGACGATGAATAACAAAATGGCGTCTCCAAAACTAGCATTCTAACATTGATTGGACAAATCTTGCTGTTTTGACGGGTTTCTAGAAATGGCGTCAGCAAAAATGCAAATCCTAGCAAATTCAATTTATTTCCTACTCTTCTATGATAGAAAGGTAACAAAATGTCAAGGCGAAATGGAAAATGTCAATGTTTTAGTTTCAATGCCGAAAACACAAAACGACCAGAAAGAGAATAAGAAGCAATAAAAATTTTGGGTCTAGCGTTTCGTTTGGTTGCAGCAAGTTTACAACGCATGTTATTTACAAGGACAACAAGTTAACAAGGCCGACTAAAATTCAAAGAATGGTAGGCCAGAACAGTCAGACTATTGGTTGGGCCTAATGGCGTCGGCAACCTGGTGTTATGTGCGAAGTCAATCAAAGCTGAATATTTTGTCCAATAACTTTATGGAAAGCCCCCAGGAAAATACAGAAACAAGTAACGATTCTTTGCAAAGACCATTTATTTTCAAATAAGACATTAAATCTAGTTATGTTGCAATTGTGACAGAAATTTCCAAAAAAATAACATCATGGTCTTTTAATAACCCCGTCAAAGTCAAAGCCTTTATGTAATTGGTTTTCATTAAAAAAATATAAGAAATGAAATCTTCTTAGACCAAAAATAAGTTCTTTTAAAATTTTGTTGAGTTTTCCTCCTGTAACCAGAGTTATTTCGTTGGAAAATTATAGGAGTACCTGTAATATATTTGCAACAAAAAAGGTTTTTCTTTGCACAAACCTGTAAGATTTCATTGAGGCGAACTTGGAAGTACTTTTTGCTTGGTTGCCCAAAACTGTTAATTTTTCTGGCTGTTATTAAAGTATTTCTCAAAAGCTTTGGTCGCACGTTTTTAGTCCTGCAAAAGGCCTAATTTCGGATACCATTACGTAACATGTTGCAACAGAATACAATCGATAAATCATGTCAGTACCCTTTAACTCCATCTCTTCCAGCCAATTGCGACGTTGTTTAGGGAACAAATATTACAGCAACATGTTCAAAACAGCATTTCATCTCCTCGTTGAATGAAAATACCAAAATTTCTGCGATAAACTGTCGTAAACATTGCTAACCAAGTACCCAAAACACCCTCATTAAAAAACAGCTCTAAAAGTTTCACTTTTCGTTTAATTCAAGGCCAATAATGATCTTCTGGGAGGGATCAAACAACTAAATGTGATCTGGCCGAAGTTTACTGATATTTAAAGTAATATGAGTTAGCATGAGACAGGGATAGATCACAAATTTAAAAAAGGTAATTTTCTTGGATTTCTCTATATCGCGGGTCTCAGCCCCTCACTCAAGACACTATATGGTCTTTAATTTTTGAAAAAATGTTGACAAAGTCAGATGAAGCCACACAACAGCTGCAAGAAAGCAACAAAGATATCTTGAGAGTGTACCAGTAGTAAAAATAACCGAGAATTGGGCGACCAAAAAAAATTGATATCAAAGTGGAGGAGATTCGTCTACCCCCTCACAAAAGTATTGCACCACCTTGTTCAAAATGGCGGCACTTTTTGTCAATATTTTTACAATACAAGAGGTTTGAATGCATTAATTGGCTGAAATAGGCATATTTTATAGCAAATTTCGCAGGAAAAGTTTGCAAATTTTGCTGACGCCGTAGAATACCTATCTAAAATGTAAGTATTACGTAAAAACATTATTGTTTGAAAAATGTAGACCACGCCTAAGGGAGAAAATTTGTCAAATGAGATGAGGGTCCCTATAAAATTTGTACAGGGGGATGGTCTTTAATTTTTTAAAAATTGTTGACAAAGTTAGATGCAGCCACACGACAGCTTCAATAAATCAAAAAAGGTTTCTTGAGAGTGTTTCAGTTGTAATAAACCGAGAAATGAGTGAACAAAAATTTGACGTTAGAGGGGGAGCGATTTTGTCTGTTTTATTTCACCATGTTTGCACTAAGGGACAGTAAAAGACATGAAACTCGACGCTGAGCAATCTTTTGCAGCTCAAAATTCTTCCAAACAAAAAGTAATGAGTATCGTAAACAAATACAAATTAAAAATTCACCTGCCTAAAAGAAAACCATTTTGACAACTATTTATTTCCGAACAAGAAGAATTCAAGTTTTTTCGTGGCTTGGTTCAAGTCCTTGCATTATCAGTTTTTCTAAACTGTTGTCTGCTCTATTTATGTGGCCATAATAGGTTAATTGCCTCTTTCTGATGGTGTTGAATAATGATCTTTCTGTTTTTATTTGGCCTAGTACCCATTCATTCGTTCTTCTAGATGTCTCCATACCCAAAGTTCAAAGGCTTCAATCTTTTTCATTTCTGCTTTTCTTATTACCCATGTCTCACTTCCATATGTAACAACAGAAAATACTAATGCTTCGATTATTCTTATCTTGGTATTTAGTGTGATGTTTTTGTCTTTCATTATCGTTGTCAAATTGGTCATAGCCTTCCTACCCAGCATTAGCCTCCTTCTAATTTCTTTTGTGTGCAAGGAAAAATTGAAGGGAAAAGAGGAAGAGGAAGACCTGCAACAAAGTGGTTTGACAACATTAAGGCGATGACAACAAGAAATGTTTATCAGCTCAACAAAGACACTAAAAATAGAGCTGAATGGAGACGTCAGGTTCATAACATCACCAGGGGTCGAGCGACCTGAAGGACAACTACAACAACAACAACAACAGTTCAAGTCCAGATTTGTACATCGTTGAAAATGTTTGGCTTCGTAAGAGAAACAATCCGAACCATGATTTTAAAGGTTCTTGAAAAACCAAAGAATCGTTAATAAAAAGAATTATTCAGGTTTGGATTGAATTTCACAATAATACATTGCCCAATTATATGCAATCAATTCAAGAAGGCATAAAGCGGTTTCAAAAGTTTATAGCCCACTTCAAAATATGAAAATTTAAAACTGTTAGAAGAAGTTTGGAAACTGGTGTTTTCAAAAAAGTGCTCTAAAAAGATGAAAGTTTTGATTGGTGGTTATTTCATTTCCGACCCACTCTCATTCGCCACTTCAAAACACAATCAATTCGCGCAACAATAGCTTTCCATAATTCTTGCGTCATTTTCCCTCTTTCAAGGTGGTGCAATACTTTGCGTTTGCTACTGTTATTTTCAAACATGTTACTTTCAAGCCCTAGATTTCTGCTAAAACAGTCTTCTAAGTAATAATTTGGTCATCCGAGCAAAGCTTGAAGTTTCTTTATCAATATTTTTACTTAAGCGTTACAACCTTCATTTCATTGTCACTATTTACAAATGCTTCAGAAATTTTGTAAAGAACAATTTTGAAGCAGTGCTTCAATGTTTTACTGAATTTCTTACTTTAAACAGCAAACTAATCGTTTAATTTTGTTTTTAACTGAAACTCTGTAAGATGACGAATGCATTAACTATCGTTCCCAAGCCCCTTCACCTAGTAATTTTGATTGGGAAATTTGTCGCCTTGGGCCCTTGGCCACTGTGAGCCGCCATTTTTATCTAATCCCTAAGAGAACAAAAGGATTTAAAGACTTGAAAAAAACCCTTTGCTAGATACCAAAAAGAGAGGGAGGGTACCGGAAAAGAGAAGAGCCTTGAAAAAGCCTATCAATAACACGATAATTTATTTTCCGGTAATCTTTCTCTTTCTCTTATATATTTATTTTTCTCTTTTCCGGTAAGCCCCACCCAAACGCTTAGATATCCTCATCAGAGCCAAGGGATCAACTTAAAATATAGAACTCCTACTGCCCTATTTCCCAAATGCATCGGAAATGGCACATAAAGACCTACTACCAGAATGAAAGCATGATATTAACTGTAACACCATTACTGAAACTCAACGACAAACGAGAGTGTCCGACGAGCCAAAGAGCAATACCTCATTGGCCTGGCAAACATTCTCACACCGAACGGCATGAACAGAACCACTGACCGTTAACCTTATAGCAACAACATCATTATTTCATATTATACATCCCCATAACGTCTTATTATAATTCCACCACCACCACCCACCCTCTCTCATTCGCCCCCCTTCCCTCCTCTACCACTGCGCTGCATTCACACGATTCCACATCAGCCAATCCGACACCACCATCGCCTTTTTTGAATATGTAAATTTTTAGCCCCTTAACTTTTGCTCTGATGAAGCCCCGTATATTAGCCTTTACTAATTTACGTGTATTTATTGTTGTTTATTCTCGGCGTATCGTGGTGTTTTATATTTGCTACATGATATTAATTGACACCCAAAAAGGAAAAGACAATTAGAATAAAATTAAAACCCCTTGAAAGTCAAATTTCACAACATTCCTCGTGAAGTTAACTCTGACAATAATTAAATTAACTCCTCGTGAAGTTTCATTTTATCAGCATTTATTGCGACTCCCGCCATTACGAACTCCAAGTTCCCAAACGTCTGTGTACTGTTCCAAGCCCGTTGCCTAGAAACGTTGCAATGAAATGATGGGAACGAGGTTTAGTGCGTCAGTAGCCTGGAAGATACAAGATAATTTGGCGATTGACATTTGACAATGGAAGTAGAGTCGATATGTTATCGAGGATTGTAAAGCACTAGCAAATTGCTTACATGCTGAACCGATAAGTTACACAAAGTTCTTATTGTTGTTGTGAGCGGTTGGCATTAGATAATGGTGATAACGTCGTCTGGCAGGTCACGAACAAGTCAAGGGGACACAAACAAACAGCAAGAAAATATATATTTTATCAAGAATCTTTGAGGCACCTACAAAGATTTAGGTTTCACTTGAAATTGAATAAAAAAGTCATCCAGTGGAAAGCATAAGTATTAAATATTCTTTCCCAGGGTCCAAGTGTTTTTTTGCAGCCTTTGTGTTTTGGTACTGGATGGTGTTAGTCCAGTGTTTGCGTCAGTCTTGTTTGGAAGTTAAGTGGTGCTTTTAAACCTCGATACAATGGCAGAAGAATTAAAACCTAAACTGCCAGATATATCTGTTTCTGGGACATCAGAAGACGAGGGTAACTCCCCACGCAGAGAAGAGATTGGTGATGAAGATAAATATGCAAATTCTGATTCTGATCAGGATTCTTTGAAAGAAACAACCAGCAACGGACATGTAAACAGTGGGTTGATTGACAATGATATGCCAGCACTGGCAGAGAAACTGAGTAAAGTAGACGTTGAATCTGAAGATATCAAATTTAGCTCAAATGATATTGTGGGTGATCGTATTTTGATAGAGAGGGATGGAAAGTTTGAGTTGGTTGATGCGTCAGAAGTAAAAGCAGAATACTTTCAGATGATGGGAATAGAGGAGGACCTAGGTAAAGAATCGTCACCAGAAGAGAAGCCACCTTTGGAGTCTGCAAAATCAATGAAGGAGGACTCAACGAAAAATAACCCAAGTAACAGGACATCCCCAAGGCCAAAAACTTCCCCACTGAAAGCTGGCTCAAGCAAAGTGCCCCAAAAAAGTAGAGCAAAGAGCTCGTATGCGAGGGAGAGAAATTATGATGAATATTCACATATAAAATCCAGATATGCCATGACTGATCATCAGTTGGAAATGAAAAGGCGCAGGGAAGAGGCCATTGCAAGAAGGAAAAAAGAAGAAGATGAACGGCTTCAGGAAGAGAATAACAGGAAGCGTGATGAAGCAGAAAAGGCATTCCAGGTTTGATTCTAAAAAGCTTTTGAACCCAAGGAAATCTTCTTATCTTTTTTGTAAACCACATTTTGTTTGCACATTGTTTTCCAATTATACTTTCTATTTTAAAGAGCTACTGAGAGTTTTTCTGTTTTTAAACCAGCTATTTTGGTGCTTTCGTTTTTTAATTCTGCTTTTCCCATTTTTCACCATCTTTGTTGTCTTATATGATTAATTAATTAGTTGTAAGTTTGATTATCAAAGTAGCCCACTGGAATGGCTGGAATGGCAACCAAAAATGCATCTTTCATAGTTTTCTTGTGTTTGCACGTTGTTTTGCTATGTCTGGTGCCTTTTAACAAAGTTTAATTTTATTCAAAGGCTTGGTTAAAGATTAAAAATGAAGAGGCTCTTGAAAAGAGAAAGTATTTGGGTTTAAAGAATGATTCTAAATTGAAAGAAGATAGAAATAAAGCTGCGCAAGATGCATATGAGGTTTGGTTGCATGAAAAGTCCAAACAGAAAAAGCAAGAAAAGGAAATGGAAAGAAGAAAATTTGAAGAGGAAGTGTCAACATACGTTATAAGAGAAAGACAGACATGTGAGGAAGCATTCAACAGGTAAAATTTCATCATTTCCCCATTATATATAATAATTTCTAATAGTTTCAGATAGGTTTCAAGTTCAAAACTTGTATTTTTTTTGTTTCTTCCGAAACTCTTACCATCCAATATTTGTATTTGTGTGAAATTTTACTCTGTTTTGAAATTTGATAAAAACTCATAAAAGGATAGAATCTTAGACTATTATTTGCTTTTGAGATCCTAGAGATTGCCAGTTAATAATATATTGATGATGATGCTTTGACTATCCTGCAAAATGTTTGCTTTTTTCAAAGCCATTTTCAAATTTTGTACCACCAAAAATTATTTACATATATATTTTTACAAAATTTAGAATATAGGTCAAAATATAGGCAAGAACAAAGTTTTTTTTAATGAATTTGTTAAATCCTGCAAATAGGTTTTTTAAAGAATAACCTTTAAAAATCAAGGCAGCTGCTTGTCTGTCATCCAGAATAAGCTGTATATGTATGTTAAAAATATAAATATATCAAGAATTTGTTTGCAATTATAGAGAAAATTTGTTCCATAGAAATTTTTGTCCTTTACGCCAATTGGTCTTAATAATTGGTCTTTTAAAGTAATTTTACCATAAACATTGAACTAGATGGCTAAAGAAAAAGCGAATAGAAGAAAAGAAGAAACTTGCTGCAAAGAAACCAAGAAGGCAACGAAAGGCAAAGAAAAAGGGTTCAACTGACCCAAAACCTATCAATACATCAGCAATAAGGTAATCTTTGCTTTTTTATCTTGAGGCCCTGGCTGGCTTTTGAGTGATATCCTGGGACTTACATGACCAGCCCATTCTTATAGAGCTATTCCTAAAGCTCTAAGTCCTATCATTATGCAAATTGAATGGAAAGCATTTCATAAAAAGAAAGCATTTCGTGTGGAAATCTAGTATATACCTTCTTTACAAGAGAGAATAGCCCCTCTATAGTACTGAAAATACTTTAGTCCAAGTAATTTATTTTGCTAAAAGGTTTGTTTCACCTCTCTTATACCTTTTTTATCAAGTTTGAGAATTTTTTGACATAGCCGTGATTTTTCTGAAAATTCGACAAATTTGAAAATTGAGAGGCTTTGGCCCCCTGTCCCCTGCCCCACAGCCATTACACATTGCCTTAGGGATTTGTCATTTTAGAGGGATTGGTCAAAGTTTCTGTTATTTCAAACTAGCAAGTTTCTGTTGGTTTTTTATTTTGTTAGTGAATTATTTAAAGAGAGTGAGTAATTTAACAGTGAAAAAAGTGAATATCCAGTACCCAGTGACAAAGCTTTTTGAAATTCACACTATATATTTATAATTGACAGGTTGTTGTGGAACTTTTTAACACATCACTGTATATATTCAATATATTTTTGTTGAATTTTGCTGAAGAAATGATTTTTGAATATCATGTTTACCCAACCATGTAACCTTGGTTGAGGACATTGTCCCAAAAGAGTGTTATCGATAAAATTGTATGTATCATCTCTGAACCAATTCAACTTACGCTCGCTACATCAGAACCATCATAAATTTTTTGTTAATTTCTCTTGTAATTTAAGGTTCACAGATTACTACGGATATAGAAATACCGTCGCTTTGTAAATCAAGAAGCCTATGGTCGTGCCCTTGCGCAAGTGCGCTGTCTTGATCTCATCAAAGATAGATTTATGGCTTCGTGCAGAAAAGGGTCGTGAAATCTCCAAAGAAACACTCCTGAAGTAAAAGCTTTCTATTAATGCTTTATTGATTTGCTTTTTTTGTTATAATTTTTTAGTCTCTAAGTATCACAGTATTGATTTGCTCCTTTTCAAAATGCTGCGTCCATGGAAGCTTTCGGCATCCAATCCCGCGTATATGCCAGCTCCGATTCTCCAACGAATGATCTATCTGGATTCCCAGCTAATTCAGGTGGTTTTTGGTTGAAACGTTTAGTAGCAAACATAGAAGATTTTTAATAAACAAAGTATGAGCTCTCTGGAATTATCCACACTGAAATGTTTGGGTCGGGGGAGGTTTCCCATACCACTTTATTGTAATACCTGGCAAACCTAGAGTCCTTCATCTGGAAGATTTTTGCCTACCATAGTTAAACATCAAAGAAATCTTCGGAGATTGATGTGAATATCGGTGTAAAATATTTGTTGGAATTGCACACTTCTCGTATCAAGAGCTTTTTTACTGAAGAACGAAGTTAATAATCAAGGTGTGATGAGAGTATATATGATACAAAGCTATAACCTTGATAATATTGGTCTTATAGGAGCATCTACTTTTTGAATTTTATGTTTGTAATAGAAAGCTAGCGATCTTTCACTGGTATATATTGTGAGATTTTTGTTAATGAGTTAATTGTATATTTTTGTTAATAAGTCTCGAGAACGTTCATAACTTGGAAACCTGTTTTAATTGCTTTGTCCGTTGGAAATTCTTTTCAGCATTTTGCATCTTTCAGTTGATCACTGGCCCCGTATTGAAACAAGACTTGTTTTCTTTATGATACGATTATCAGAATGGGAGAGAATACAAACGAAATCAACCAGTATCAAATCATAATTTTTTGTTCAGGCATCTGCTGATACACATTTTGTAAGTACTTCTACGTTGTTTCTTACGCCGCGAGATTGCCTATGCTACGTCAAAAGTCAACTGCTTGAAGGATAGATGCATCGTGGGACAATTTTGTCAAGCATTCTCATCGATTCTAGAAGATTTTCTTAACAGTTTTTGCCATATACATGCAATTCAATTGGTCCGTTCGTTTTGTTTCAGAAATAAGAGTCTAAGGGCTGAAAATTTGATTAGCCAGGTTTCTTCTATGATTATATAAGATAGGCAGGAACAATGCGAAACGACGCGTAAAGGTTTAATATGAAGAAAACAAAAAATCAGACTCTTGAAGAAAACGCAATTTATCCATATTTTTTCTTGAGGTGCCAATAAAGCAAAATTCTCATACTTGAATTTAAAAAATCGTATTTTCCGAAGGTCACAAATTGACAGCCAAATTTTCAATCAGAGTCTTAAATTAAATAGAAAAAAATTCGAAGACCAAGGTGGCATTGTGCCGTCACAGTGATTTGCAAATTTGAAGATCACTGCGTTTTTTTAACCAAGTATCAAATTTGCTAACATCACCGTTAACAGCCTCATTCAGCTGAGTCAAGTCGTTAGAGTGGTAGCACGAACAGATACCATTAACATAGATGGATATGCTAGATGTGGGTCTAGACTTGTGAAATCTCAAATTGTTTGCTCCCTTAATTGGAATATACCCTCAACTCTTGGGTGCTTTAAAGAACAACTGAAAGCAAACATACTGGCTGACAAAATACATTAACGTCAAAACACGACCCCCTGGAAGAACAGCAATATTGAAAATTTACTCAAATCTTGCCTTTGATTTTCACATTTATTCCTTAGATTGTATATAGTTATTATTAAATACTGAAGGGTTTAATTTCGTATATAAATATTATATCATATCATACACCCTATTAACCCTACAGAGTTACTATAGGCTTGTTAAATGGGATCTGAAAGAGATCGTTTGCAGAGGATATCATGATATACAATGTCGACAGCATTTTTATTGTCAATGAAGACTAGACCCAAAAGGTTGCCCATTTTCCAGCCTATGATCCATTCTCCATTAGTTTGCAATATATAATAATGAT